TGTGAGAAAGTTTCATAGAAGAGAATAATCTATAAATACAAATAACTAAATTATATAATTTTGTGTAAAAAATAAAAATAAAAAAGAATATGATGTAGTGAGAAGACTCGAATGAATTTTAATTTATGGAAAGATAGATGAATGAGAAATAAAAAATAATAATTTTTTTAGATGAAAATGATATAGTAATTTAATCAACGGAGAATTAAAAATAGTTAAAAGTGTAAAGTGTTACATAACATAATAAAAAGGGTATGATTTGTTATTTTCGAGTCCATTTAACTATTTTAGTGGCAAATTTATAATATTTAAGCAAAAAAAAAAATTATTACCATACTTAGAAAATATGGTATGTAAAGTATAAATATATCATAAACAAATAATGTAGATTGTGAATTTTCAAATAAAATAACTTAGTCCCCTTTATGGGATGGATTAAAATTTTAATAAAAATTTACGTAAAGGTCAACAATTGATTTTAGGGAAAATTGCAACAACAGTCCCTAACATTTTACCTTTTGCAAATTTTACCATTACCTTCATTTTACACCACCCACAGTCTCAAACCTTTAAAAAATATACACTTGGGGTTCAAATAGATGAAACGGTTAATTGACCTTAAATATGAAAAAATTGGATATTTTGACCATTTTAAGTAGGGGCAATTTCATCAATCTCATAATAACTTTATATTTTTCAATAAAAATACATTTATAAAATAAGGAATAAAAAAAAAAAAAAACTTCCACCCCAACACCAAAACCAAACCCAAAATTAGAAAACTCTTCCCCGCAACGAACACAGCCACCACCGCCATCAAACCAAAATTGGCAGTCGTTACAACCATCAAACCACAACTACCATCACCCATCAAAACCAAAACCCATGGTACCAATAGATGCACCTTGATGAGGCGGACCTAAGATAGGTGGTGAGCGATCATGGGTTGCACTGCCAGCACCGAAATTAATAGTTGAAAGATCCAAATTTTCGAGTTTGAAGAATTGATTGTAGATTTGGGTTTACAACTTTGATTGATGTTACAAGGGTATCAATAGCTTTTGATTGTTTGTTTTTGATTTAGTTATTTCTTATTTTATAAATATATTTTTTATTGAAAAATATAAAGTTAATATGAGATTGAAGAAAATGCCCCCACTTAAAATAATCAAAATATCCAATTTTTACGTATTTCATGTCAATTAACGGTCAAGTGGATGTTTTGGACCCTAGATGTATATTTTTGAAAGGTTTGGAACTGTGTATTGTACAAAATGAAGATTAGGATAAAACTTACAAAAAAAAAAAGGTTAGGGACCGTTGCTACAATTTTTCCTTAATTTTAACCACACATTTTATGAAACTCGTAACTTTTATTAACTTTTCAATCGTATACTTTTTTATTTTTATTTTACTAAACATCTAAATTTTAGCTAAGTGATCCCTTGAAATATAGATATAAACATAATGGTGGAGCCCTCTTAAGGCGAGATAGGCGACCTTTCTGTGTGATCACGTTGATTAGTCTTAAATTATACTTATATTTCATTGGTAATTGTAGGCATTCTTATATTCTGGTCAACAAATTGGTTTTTACAAATAATTTCATAATCCGGGCCACAATTGATTGCTACAATTACTAAGATTCCAAATAAGTAGTCATAGGTCAACCACTTCGAAGAGTGATTCTTTCAAATCTTGAAGATAATGAAGGATCAAATGGAATTTAGAGAAGATATGTTAATTCCGGGGCCATAGGCAATGCCGTTGATTCCGGTTTTTGACCATTAATTTGTAAATGAGAAAATTTGCTGACACCTCTGGAAAACATGTTTGATATTAGGAAAAAATGAAAAACCATTTTAGGAAATTGTCAGCAATAAATAACATATTTGATATTTTGATGATATATCACTGCTTAGAGTTGATGAAAAAAAGTTTAAAATATTATGTATTGTATTGTATAAAATGACCAGTAATATATGCAATACGCGCCTCTATATATTTAGAGTTCAGATCTATTGTCAAATGTGACGGTCTCCTATTAAAATTATAACACTCAATTAGAATTTCACATAACCTTTTTCTTTTTTATCACAGCCAAATGGATTGTTAAATTTGATGATTTTTTTTTTTTAAAGTAGTATATATTTTTATTTCGAATTAACTTGATAAGTTTGTGATGATAGAAGTGGTGGTGGTTGTCAATTTTCGATAATCTTAAAGTCCTGACGAGCTATATGAAGATTGTTAGATGCTATAACTCCTTTGAAAGGAAGGGTGGCAAGTTGATCATTCATCCATCTATGTCTAAAAACGAAGGGTCGAGTGGAACAGAACAAATGATGTCAAGCCAAGAATTCGAAATATGAAATAGAGAAGTGTGACAAAAAAGGATAAAAAAAAGCATGTTTTTTTCATGGCAAAGAGCTTATCAACCGATATTGATGATGAAAATATTGACTGACACTACACCTTTGTGGCCTGACGAGTTTAGTCTCGATATTTAGCCTCCACGCCTTGTACACAATAAGTAAGAGTCGATCTAGAGACAGCATTCTTTGGGGTGACTAGGCTGTTTCGCCTAACTTTTGAAGAAGTGGTGGCTGCCTATTTCGTTGGTACCATTCAATTTCCTCATTTCGATCCATTTATCTATATATGCTTGGTATTGTCCAAACGAAAAATCAAAAGGTGAGCCGAATCTGAATTATTGAGAAAAAGACTATTAAAGGTATAGAGATGGTGAGCTCATTTATCACTAACCAATATAAAGTGGCACGAACAAGTGTAATGGAGGTATATATATTAAATATGTGTGTGTGTATATGTATTTATGTATGCGATTACAAAGAGAATGACTATATCAATGTGTTACCATAAAAAAAAAAAAATTCCAACTCGCGTTACGGATTTACACAATGGATATAGTAGTAAATCATCTATACTGGCTACTAAATTCTGTATAGAAGTAATAAGAAATAATCAGAAAATGTCATAGAATTCGTGAAAATTTCTATATATCTGTGTGTGAAAAGTTTTTAGAAGTTGAAAACTTGTGGTTTATGTAAATTTAAGATTACAATTAAATATCTTGAAGTTCTGTTATAAATTGAACTTTTATTATTTATATTATTCTCTTAAAATATAGACATTTTCACCTAGAAACACTATAATTAAAATCAAAACTAAATGGTATTTGAGCATTCTTAAGATAGACTATTTTTCGCGATCTTAGGACAAATATATAATTTAACTAACTCCATAATACATATACGTTCCATTATTGTCACACTGACCCAGCTTAGACAAAAAAATAAAATAAAAATAAATTATAACTAAAAATGCTTACCTGGTCAATTGTGAATTTTATGAGTTAAGAGATTACAATCAATTTTATGATTTTGGCACGAGGCATCCAATGGAAATCTTAATTCTTAATATAAATATACAAAGTAAGGGTATCTTTTTTGGGCAAGTGGGAGATGTCGTACATGATTGAGGCAAATTATAAACCAATAATAGGGCATTGATTAAATTTGTTTTGCAGTTTGATCCAAATTTTAAAGGATATTGGAGTTTTGATTGAAATGGTCTTGAAGAAATCAAAATTATGGATTAGGAAGAAAAGTTGTCACATTTTTGCTAGTAAACCGCTCAAGCGGCGCTTGCATATTTTCTCCTGAAACTTGTTGCTCGCCTATTGCTGGCTTATCGCTAGAGTAACGGGGTTATTTGGCCAGGCCCGTTTCGCATTTTGATGCGTATTTTGGACTCCTATTTATCTATAATTGATTTCTAGGGATTCTATACAACATTTTGAAAGTTTTAAATTTTAATTGAGACTATTGAGATCTTGTTGTAAATACAATTACTATTGATCTTAGTAGATTTATCTTCCTTTGTCTACCATTTTTTTTCCATCTTGGGTTTCCACATATATTTTGGTGTTCTTATTTTTGTTCTTGTTTGTCAATTTCTTGTGATCAATTCTTAATAAGTGGTATCAGAGCAATGTTGATTATTCCGCATGACAACAATAAAATATGATATTCCGTTATTTGAACGAAACACGAGGTTTATTTTATGGTAAGTGAAGTACAAGCAGTTCTCACATAGATGGATTTGAAAGAAGCATCATTTGGCTTTGATAAAATGCCTTCAACCTAAATGCAATATGAAAAGCGATGTAGGGATAGGAAAGCTCAATCTCAAATTTATCTACATCTCAAAGTTATTTAACCCGGGTCCATTTCGCGTTTTGACGCGTTTTTTGGACTCATATTCATTTACAATTTAATTTTTACGATTTAAATATATAAGTTACAACTTGTATTATCTCCATAATATTCATACGATATCTTGAGAGTTTTATTTTTTAATTAAGAGTATTGAGATCTTATAATAAATACAATTACTATTGATTATCGTAAATTTCTCCTCCTCTACCTGTGATTTTTTCCTATCTTAAATTTTCACATAAGTTTTGGTGTTCTTATGTTTGTTCCTGTTTAATTCATTACTATCATTATCTTTCGATCAATTCTTAACAATTTGGACAAATGGTTTGAATATTTGGAATCAAATAAATTAGTTGTACGCCTTTCCAAGGGACAATAAACAAGCCCTTGGAACTTGTTACAGGTTACATCACATATGCATGTGCATACAATAAATTCAATTTTATTATCTATAAAAACTAGGAGTTGATTAAACGAACTCTTTTCTAATATTTGGCTTAGATTTTTAGGAAAAGATTTAATGCATTAATGTAATCCTTCTTAACCACATCCAGCTGTGATAATTTGTCTCTGAGTTGATTCTTGTGAGGGAGATTTTCTGAGTTTCATGTGTCCTTGTTTGGTTTAGTTGAAATTTGTATCGCAGATTTTGATAAAAATTTATAAACGTGTATGATTTAAAAGTTAATAAAAGTTGTGAATTTCATAAAATATGTAATTTAAAATAAACTTATGAAAAATGGGACCAAACATACGTTCAATATATGACTGATTATTCCATGCCACGTCTATTTATCGAAGTATTTTTCTAATTTAGTTAAGTACAATATTACTATTCTCATTTCTACTACATAGAATTTCCAAGACTATATATCTCATTAAATTATACTACTATGGGGCCATATGAAGTAAATAAAAGAACCCTAAGAAAATAAAAAAATATTGGAAAAAGAAAGCTTAGATTTATTCATTATACGATCATAATTAACTCTCCTGAAAAATTTGCGCCAAAAATGAGTTTCGATAGTTACAGCTGTCCTCACTTGTAACAGTTAGACTCCCATAAATATGAATCCTCAGGCGACCCGTATCTGATATGATCGGATCCCTCTAACTGCCATGACAAGGCATAGTAAGTACAGTATCCATCATTGTGTTCTGCACCGTTCATTGAAAGATCTGGCAGATCATAAAACGTGTCATCATCAGTAGATTCTTGAAAGTGTTCCTGCGATAAATTCGTTGATGAATGAGAATTGGGTAGCTGGGCTTTGCTCAGTCGTGCTTCAGCTTCTGCACCACCGCGAATTGTGGCGGCAGCCGCCTTTGCGGCCGCAGCTTGGATGTCCTTTGGCGATGCCGAGGCGGGCCGGGGGAGTTCATGAGCCAAATGTGGGAAGTTAAGATAAGCTGAGTGACCTTTGATTGCTAAAGCTGCTACATCATGTGCTCGGGCTGCCATTTCTGGTATTGGATATGTTCCAAGCCATATTCTTGATTTCTTCTTAGGTTGTCGAATCTCGGACACCCATTTGCCCCAACTACGCTTTCGTACACCTCGATAAGTTGTATGCTTCTTGTCATTCGCTTTGCCACTTTTTTCTCCTCGAACATATTTCGAGTTCTTGTGAGCTTTGCCCTCATTTAGACTCTTTGTACTTCGATAGGAAGATATCGACCAAGAGTTCGAGGAGGAAGAGGTGGTGGATCTTGTCATCGAGGACGAAGTCATTGAAAATGATGTGGACGAGGTGGTGGTGTCTTGAGCTAGACTCTCGAAGTTGAAATGTTCTTCCATGTATGCCTTGTGGCTGCCAGAAAAGAATTGTGAAAGATGCACATAAAAATAGGGAATCAAGTTGGGGTTTATAAAATTCTTACATAAATCAGATCAATTTATTTAAAAAAAGGGAAAGAAAAAGAAACACGAAACGTTAGAAAAAGGAAAATGGTACAGTTACAGCTATTTTGTTAATCAAGTGGCACTTTTATATTAATGTGTGTACCATATGCTTTCGAAGCATCTTTCAAACGTGTATAGCTATTTGTCCTTTGAATGGTCAGTTGGTATAAATTTTAATTTTGCGACAATGACAACCACGCATAATGCACGGGCAAAAGGACAATATATATAACGCTTGACTAAGTAGGTTGCACCAAACACCCGATTTCGTTATAGACAGAGGCGGTCCTGAGAACGTGCGAGTTGAGCGATCGCACAGGGCCTCAACATTATAGGGGCATCAAAAAAAATTTTTTTGTAAGTATATATATATATAAGTACATATTTATAATGGTACATATTGCTTTATTAATTTTAAGATTTAAAATTTTTATTATTATATTAAGTTAAAGGGCAAAATATTTACGAAAAAAGAATAAAAAATTATATTATGTTAATATTTGTTTAATTTAATATATTATTGACAATAAATGTTTAATTTAACATATATTGAAAAAAAATATTTTTATAATTCTAAAATATCTTGCTTTCAAAAATATTATAAACTATCTATTTTACTAGTCCTAATATCAATTGTCTAATTAGCTTCATCGATCAATTACCAATTTAAAAAGAAAATAAGTTGCCCAAAATTCAAATGATTAAAATGGAGAGTGAAAAGCTAATACTAAATCCATTTTTATCAATTCTCTCATTCTCATCATTTAACCCACAAAGAATAGTCAAATAAAGAATAAAAGAGACTTTATTATCAATCTTTATTACTTACTCTATAATAGTAGAATCTATTTGTTGGAGCCCGTTGTCCACGTGTGAATTGCTATTTCATGATTTTTTATTTTTTGAAGGATAAGTTTTTGTGAGGTGAAAACTGATAGTTGATTACATTCAATTTTTGAGAATTTTTTTACCAAAAGAAACAAAAATAACTTTTGATAGATTGACTTATTTAAAAAGATTGGATTGCTTTTCGAATATATTTATTGCTTATAAAATACTATTAACAATTATTGTTATTGTTGCATTTGTCGAAAAATGTTCTTCAAAACTGAAGTTATTAAAAATTTATTTGTGATCAACCATGTTATAAGAATGATTGAATGCGCTAGTTTTGATATTTATTGAAAAAGATTTGCTAAAACATATTGATTACGAAGGTTTAATTAATGAGATTGTCTCTAAAAATGCGAGAACCAATATTTTTACATGATTTGTTGCATTTCAAAATTTACATGTGGTACTTGCTATTTTTGATTTCAAAGTTTGCTCATGTGAAATTGTACCAAGAGGTTAATAGTTTGGATGGTTCTTTATTGATGACACATGAATTTTGATGAAGTTTGAAAAATGCTTTTGAGCTTTAGTTATATTTTTTTTATTAACAATATGTAAAAAACTAAACAAATTTTTTAATGTCATATTATTGGGATGAAATGATGTTATTGAATTATTTTTTTTTATAATATATTTTATATTACATGAAAGGGGCACCATTTTAAAATGTCGCATGGGGCATCTAAAATTCAGGGCCGGCCCTGGTTATAGACCAACTAGAGTCTAATGTGACTGTATTTCATTTCATTATATAGGATCTCTCGAATCATGCTTAGATTATGGTTTTCGTGAGAATTCTTGGCAAGAGGACGTTGTAAGGTTATCACATTAAAACATCAAATCACTAACCATCACATATATATTACATAGAACGACTGGAAATAGCATTGAAACTTGAAGATGAATTCATGAATTAAAATATTTTAATTTTGTTACACATGGATAACATGAAAGTGGGACCGAGCATGTTCAAAAATGGGTCCCACCAAAGATTTGCTGGCCAAATTAATATCTATAATCTATTTTATGGTTATATATTTTAATTTCTTTATCTCCTAGTCATTACAATCTTAGCCCCTACCCTTACTTTCCAAACAGATCCTCCTATATCTCTATATAAACGCTGGTTTATCAAGAATATACAAGAAAAACACTCCAAATTGTTGATTAATCGTTAGAGATGGCTTAGATTTTCTAAAAATTTATTTTTTTCAAAGTTATTTTTAATCGAATATTTATTTTTACACAAATCCAAAAATTTTCCTTATTAACTACACATTTTTCAATATATATATATATTGTCAATTTGGTGAAGATAAGGCAAGTATCCTATTTATTGTCAATTATTTGACTTTTTTAATTCTCATCGTTGGCTAATTAAGCCATGAATAAACTATGAAATGATGAAAATAAATCCATACATCAAATGAGCATCTAAACCATTTTCCAAAATTGAGTATGATAATTGTCAAGTTCTTTCATTTACTCTTTTTTTCTCAAAACCTTTACACTTCACACGCTAAAAATGCCATATTTTTCAAACAAATCAATGTTTTAATAATTAATATGATGGATTAAAATTTTGTCAATAGCATCGTGCCAACTAAATATGCACTAAATGATCACTAAAACCTCAATGGAATAGCAATGATTTGAATTCAATGATCTGCTAGTAAATGAAAGTGTCCAGAAGCTTTAAGTAGTGAGATTACTGAAAAACGATTTTATCTAAACCCGGAACCTGCACCTGCACCTGCACCTGCAAATCCTCCATGGAACTTCTGTCATTTCCTAATGTAGTTTTTGGTCTCTGCAAATCATCTAGAAATATACAAATATAAGTAAACATTGCCCACTAGGACCAGCAACTGGTTCAAATGTAATCTGTCAAGAAAACATGGAATATGGTTCCTCAAATTTCCAGTCAAAAGCATATAGATTACGACAAATGCAATAGACAATGAGAAATTAAGAAAGAAGAGCGAGAGGAGAAAAGACGAGAGAATTAAGAGGGAGATTGCAAGTTTATTCAATAGTAATGGTTTATTTATTACAATCAAAGAACCTCTTTACCTCTTTATATAGAGTTTAAACTAGGATTAATACAGAATAACAAGGTTTCCTCTATAAAGGAAACAAAGTCAATTGTCTTGAAATCGCAATAAGACGCATTAATAATCAATAACAAATTCTATAAAATCCTAATTGATTTTATTTCTTCTACGTCTATAGTAAACTTTCCATTTTGCCTCAACGGGTTTAACATCGCTAGCCTCAAAACTTGCCGCACATTCTGGGCACTTGAGCTGGCCCGTTTCTATAACTCTCTGTACGCAATGGCTGCAGAACAGGTGGTAGCATTTGGCGATAAACACCTAAAAAAAAAAAGGCACTGGTTATCTCCTCAAGAACTATAGACTGTGCAGGCTATGAAAGCAAAATTAAAGTTTCTTATTCGTGAAGAATACAGCAGACACGTTTTCATATATAAAGAAAACTATCACCGTTCACCATATCCCACCATCATTAATGGTCCTGTATTCTGTCGTCACATAATTTCGCCATTTCCCTCATACATCACATTTATTCTTTCAAATTCTTTGTAGCATATTAGCATTATTAATATTTGAGTTTCATTTTTAGGTTGTAACTGTCTTGATACTTCACAGGGATCCCTGTTTCCAAATGGATATACCTCTTTACTTCTATCAAGGCAAATACTGCACTTCAGTATTTCCTTGTATTCTCCGAGTTCCTGCAGAAGCTTTTCAGTTGGGGATGAAACCTTGGAATGCAACTTCAATCTTTTTGTTTTCCTTCTAAGAGTTTCTACGTCTTCTTCTATTCTTTTCTTCTCAAACCTAGTAAGGAGAAATAGTTTAAAAACAAGAAATGATAGGAATGACATCACATTACAATTCTATCTGCAGCTTAGCAAATCCAACTGTACTTATGTCAAGCTTTGATTTTGATTCTTCAAATGTGTTCCTCAGTTGCTGAGATGACTTCCTCACATATAACACTCTTTTTTGGGTGTTCTCTAAAGTAACTGTTCTTCGAGCCCTAATTTTAGAAAACCTCCGAATTTGGTCCGCGTAGGATTTCAACTGCAATAAAAAGAATACCAATATGATATTGATCGGACACAACATTCGGCACTACAGAACAGAGGCACCTCAATATTACCTGATATTCAATTCTAGCAGCTTTAGTGTCATAAAATCTAACAGTTGCCTTGTTTTGACAATTTATTCTTTCCAAGTAACGCTTCTTCATCAATAGGGCATCCCTCATCTGTGTTGCCTGCACTCCCTGTAAAACAAGCTGAACCAGGAGGTAAAACAACATGATGACACTTACAAAATAAACCTCAATGAAAGCAGAAATACTTGTGCATCTTTTATGGTATGAAAACTGGAAAAACAAATGCAAGAATCCTTGACAAGACAACATGCTTGTATCCTGTGTTCTTGTTTCAGAACAAGAACGGAACATGTATGTTCAGAAACATCATTACTACAGAGTTTAACATCGTGGAAGTGGGAAAGTAAAAACTTTCTAGGACAATTATGTCCAGTTTCACCTTATTTAGCCACTGAGAAAGCTCAACTGCTGCAATAAACACGGTATAAATCTGATTCTTTTGTACAAATAAGAAAAGGATAATAATATTACGTAGGAGGAAGCAAGGGGGAATTTTACTGCAAATGAAAGCTAAGATAGACCTCCCAAGTTCCAAATGTGTACATATGTTTCACTAAAGCTGCCAAACATTTTCAGGGATGACTAAAGTTTGATTTTCAGACTCAATGTAAATATCAAACAGTTCACAAGATAAATCTGGTGAAAGTAATAACTTGAAAAGTGTGCAATCAAACCAGCATGAATTTCTTGATCAGAGAGCTGAAGAAAACAATTATCATAACTGGAAAGGCAAATTTGTTTACGCCAACTCAAGTTAGTTATGATTCATTTGACATGCCTAGAATGAGAAGTGTGCAGTCTTCGACAGTGTCAGGCAAGGATATGTGCCTCCAATGTCTGTCGAACACAATTAAAAGTGTCAAACAAGTATCAAAATTGAGAATCGCATTGGTCATGGGAGGTGAATTGTCTTAACACTTTATGGGGCACGGGTTTTATTTAAAGTTCCAAAGAGCTGTGGACAAAATGGAATAGAAGGAAATAGAATTTAGGCATGGTGGCATATAGACAACTGAACACTCAAATCTCGCTAATTGTCCTATCTATCTCTCCACTCACCAGTGCTCATGGAGGAGAAGCTTTT